GGTATCTCTTCTCGCAGTGAAAGCAGACGTGCCGTACAATACTCTCGACCTCATCGGTCGGTCTATCGATCAAAGCCAACGACTTCTTGTCGAACATCCGAACCCCTGTTCTCTTGTCAATCAGATTATAGTCAAAGACACGTTTCCTAAATCGGGTATCAGTGGTCGCTTCGGTCGTCTCATTCATGGGCTCACTCTTCGGCTTTAAGTTTAGATCAAAGTCCTGGCCGTCAGTCCTCTCGTCGTCACTCACTTTACACGTGTCTTTGGTTTCCTGTTTGACCACAACCTCATCGGACGTCTTCATAGCGTCGGCACTGCTGTCGTCGACAGTGTCTTCCACTTCGCAATCGGTGGTCAACTCGTCGTCAGTCAACGCATCCAAGTCTAGGCAAACGGTACGAGTGGTGGACGACATCCCGACAGTGATCTACGAGAAGACATCGCGAGAGATAATGAGTAAAAGTGGCCAACAATTGAGTGTTGAGATGAAGTACTCAATCAGTTCTGGCATTGCATTGAAGTGTTGGCCAAAAACGGGACACAAATTGAATCAACACTTCATAACAAACACTCATTTCTACTATAAATGGGATTTGAATTTGTTTTTTGTTTGTCTTTATTTGGTCTCACATTTCCATCATTTGGGGCTTAAATGTTGTCCACATTTTCAGCACCTTTTCATATAAAGTCTATGCCTTTCATAGCGATAGCTATGGCTTACTATAAAAGGGACCGAAATGTGTGCTAAAGTTTGTCCTTATTATAAATGGTCTAACATTTCGTCAATAATTAATCTCTAAACCAATGAATGAATTTTGAAATGACTTTGATTTGTGTGAATGAAAGGCATATTTCACTCACTATTTGGTTGTCAATCATTCATACATTTCGTTCATTTAATCAAAAACTTTTTGTGAGCAAAAAGTTTTATTTAACTCACGATTTCATACAATCACTGATTTGGTTGAGAAAAACTAATTATAACTTTTATAAATCACTTACCAGTTGTTGTTTGCGATCACTTCATAGGAGAGTCAATAGGTTTAGCGAAAACAGACAAATCAATTATAAATACATGTATTAATACTGTCTAGAAATTTGTTGATAAAATATATGCAAACGTTTGTCGGACTAAACACGAGATAAAACTAAACTAAAATCAAATGTTGCCTTAAATTGAAACTTTGAATGCATTGTATATAACATGATATCGTTTTACAGTTTATTTCCAGACATCAAACACACCAATGGATCCAATGATAGATATTTTGTTTATAATAATAGGCGTCTGAACTTTATATATGAATCCGAATCCACATAAATATGATATTAATTTTGCAAAATTTTTATAACAAAATAATATTTACGGAAATAAAGCAAAAACAAAAAAGTAGAACTACATTTACAGCGTTGGATTAATACACACGTTATATAACACATTCATAACATACCATGTATTTAAAGTATGGTTATATTATGAATTCTTTGAGCCCCAACGGAGAGTGCAAAACAAGTTTGAGAGAAAAACGAGTTTTTAGAAAACAACGATTTATAGTTTTGCTGCAAAACTTTGCAGAACTAAACTTTTGCGCCAAACAAACAGTGAAGAGTCCTTCGCTCACAAATGCTATAATAATTGTTTTTGTTTTAAATTCAATGCGAGAGTCGTTTGGGATATACTGTAGTTTAACTGTAAGAATAGCGATATTATCGCTGCGACAATATTCACTTGAATTGTATGTCTAACACATAATTGAGCGAAAGGTTGTTAATGATATGCCAATGCATTGAATTGTATTTCCGTTTTATTTGGTTCGCAGACATTACTGGAAGGCATGACTCGGATTAAGTGGGAATGTATGGCAAACACTGAGATCTGATAAAGATTTGTTATTTAAACAGCTATTTAACACTCAATGCATACAGTATTAAATGACCAATTCTGGTGTACTCTTGAAAAGTAACTCTTTACTTATAAACAATTTGATAATTATTCGGGTCATTGAGAGAGAAGAGGAGGAGAACTATAAGATACAGCAATTGCAGGAAAACGCTCTCAAATAACTCAANGAGAGAGAGAGAGAGAGAGAGAGAGAGAGAGAGAGAGAGAGAGACTATGTCGTAACTTATGTCTCATAACTTATACTTTTTGACTATCTTTTTAATCTTATCTGTTGGCCCAACTCATAACTAAACGCTTGTTTGATTAAAAAGTTTAGTGTAAGTATTTCATTGGAAAATATTTATAAATATTGACACTAAATAAATCTAATGTAATAATTTATTAACAATTTGATATAAAAATCAATGAAAACACATCTATAAGATTATAATCTTATAAATTCAAATACAAATTCAATGCTTTTCAAGCAATTCATTAAACAATAACTTCATATGAAAATATAGTTAACACTTAAATAACAATAAGATAACGCATACCATAGCAATCATATGCAATCAGAACACTATTAACAGAAAGTAAATTAATAAAAAATAGTAAAAAATACTTAAGTTAAAAATAATAGTTAAAAAGAAATAATAAATAAACAAATGATGAAAATGTTTGTCAAATATAGGGTTTGAGTTATTTGAGAGCGTTTTCCTGCAATTGCTGTATCTTATAGTTCTCCTCCTCTTCTCTGATCTTCATTTTCAAAGCAATCTTTGCGTTCAATTTCGCGTCCCTTTCGGGCAGAAAAACAAACTCTTTGGCATCCATTCGGCCCATCAGTACTTGCACTGTGGGCTCGTATGAGCGCTCGTCCACAATAAAGTGCTCGCATTCTTTGATCTGTTTAGTATACGACCGGAAGTCATCCCTAAGCACTTTGAATATCTCCGCTTCGCATCTGTGGGCCAACGCCTGGACACTGACCGAACCGTACGGTACTATCGTTTTGGCCAACACTTTGGCCAATCTCTGGCGCTCTTTCACCCGAACCGTGTACTCAATGGTCAACTTATGTCCGGCGCTATCCATTTTGCCGGACGGCAGACCGCTTCCGATCAGATCAAAGTCTTTGGGCGCCACAGTTCTGGTCTCCAAACGCCGGGCCATCACTAATCGCGGCGCGAGTTTTGGCTTTGGTTGGGGTTTAGGCCTGAGTGGGTCCGCGAGAACGTTGATCTTGTCCTTCAATACCTCCACATTTGGATCACTTATTTCGATGATCTTCTTATGGCTCAGAGGAGACTCGTTTAGAACTCGCGTTCGGTTTAGTTTCCATTGTTTCTTTCGCCGCGCGTCCAACTCTTCAGTATATTTAGCCATATTTCTCATCCGATAAGACATTGTTATTGATATCGATTGTTATAAATGAGTTCAAATGGATATACAATAGTATAACAAAAGTAAAATATAAAAGTTAAAATAAAATAACAATAAAATAATTAATTAAAACTGCATTTAACAGAAAGGACTCGGATTTTATGCGAGGAGCGTCTCGTCCGACATTCAAAAGGAGATTTGAATTAAAAAATGATTTTCGCCTCTTTTATAGACTTGTGAAACAATAGATTTTATTTGTATAAATGTTAAGTTTTTTGGTATATTTTTACAAACTTTGAGTATAATATGGATATAGGATAAGGAAATTAGTGAGTAAACTAATTATCAATTGTATTTCAATAGATTTTTATAATTTTTTTGACTTTAAATTGATAATCAATTACTCCTTTTAAAAGAAGATTAAATATTTCATATTTCCATAGGTTTTAAAACTGATGACATTAAGGTAAGTGTTGTCCAGTAAATGAGAAACTTTTTTTTGTAAATATCAGTTTACATTCATTGCTATTCTTTCATACTGTATATTAATAACAATATTTTTGACCTCGCATTTGACCACCACTTCATTAGAGCTCTTTATATCTTCAACGACACCGTGTGATCAAAACCGTAGGAACAAAAAACTAGTAGTTTTGAAATATACAGTATATAAATTGGTAAATCTAAGGTTTATACTTAAGAACATTTATTGAGATAATCATAATAAAGGTCTTACAATGGTTAATGGTTACCTTAATGGTTAACTTAATGGGATTTAAGCTTAGATTTGTATTTAAAGTGAACGAAAGCATAATAATTGCGGACTTCTTGAGCGGACTTCTTGTGCTCTGTCTTGATATGCATTTCAATCATATTCATTGAGTCCACTAATGGCGCGAATGAACAGATCTGACACTGAGGCACAAATCTTATGCCAGTCTTTTCAATACCACTTTCACTGTCGACTGATGAAGAAGTGGATGGAGTTATCGACTTCGAGGCGTAAGTGGCGGTCAGCTCTTGGTTTTGAATTACATTGATTTTCTCTATTCTATTTGTTCATAAAATCATATTAAACACAATTTGCTTCAATTGTTGACATTATCTTATACTTTGTGGTGACGTTTGAATCCAATGAAGCGGACGATGAAATACTCGAAGATAAGTGTTTGGTTTTCTTATGTTTGGTCTTATGATTGGTATCATTGTCTTGTTTTTTGACAATCTTTCTGTATTTAATGCCATTCATTGCTTTGCCATCTTTGAAGTGACGCTTCGAGTGATGTCTCTTATAGTCATGCATTGAATGGTATCTCTTCTCGCAGTGAAAGCAGACAAACCGTACGATACTCTCGACCTCATCGGCCAGTCTATCGATCAAAGCCAACGACTTCTTGTCGAACATCCGAACCCCTGTTCTCTTGTTAATCAGATTATAGTCAAAGACACGACTTTTCCTTATACTCTTAGTTTGTGTATCAGTTGTCGTGCCGTTTGTAGACTTACTCTCACACTTTGACTTCGGATCGCAAATCTGGCCGTCAGTCCCCGCCTTATCTTTACAGCTGTTTATCATAACTTCTTTGGCTTCGAGTGTAACCATAACTTTATCCGATATCTTCATACCTTCTGCATTGGAAGCGTTGCACGAGTCATCACAATCGGTGTCCACTTCATCGCCGGTGAGAGCATCAAAGTCTATGTTAATCGTATGAATAGTCGACGACATCCTGACAGTGATCTGACAAACAAAACAGATTTGCTTTTTTCTAAACATCACTTCATTTTATGTTATAAAATATATTGAAAACAATTAACGGCTTGATTGCCGACGATTGGTGCCTAACGTATAAACTATATAATTAACATTTTGCTGACTATTTTGTACATTCATTCATATATTTCCGAAATATTTTGGTCGTAAAATCTTAATTATTGTATGCATTCATACAATTAATGTTTTAAATACAAAGAATCGTCACTTTTATGACATTTATTATTACTTGCCGATAGATATAAAAACAATTTTTAATGAAACAAAAATGTTTATGAATTTAATTTTGTAAATTTCGTAAAATAGCGAAAACTTCTCTACAAGTTGTGGACTAAGAATGAGAAACAGCTAAAGAGAAAGTAAAATAAAGTGCTTCAAAATGTGCTCTGAATTTATTGTATGAAACATCTTTTAGTGTGATCTTATTTAAATTAGTGTGTAATATAAATACGACCATAAAAACATTATACTTACACGTATCTCTCAGTATAAAGTGCCTAATTCTATGAAAAACACAAGTCCTTCAGGAGAGGGAGAAAGAGACCCAAAGAAAATCCCACATTTGTTGCTCAATAGACTAGAAGTAGAGTAACTAATAAATATTTCTTAAGTAAACACTGCCCTATGGTTTGTGAATAGCAGTGAATCGTGCAATTTATTCAGTATTTAAACAGGAATGCTTGTTATGTTAAAATTCATTTAAAGTTAAGTAAAAAATTTGGGTTTTAATTGAGTATAAAATAAAAATATTACATTAATGTTTAAAAAACTGTCACTTTTATGACATTAAGACAAGAGTTGTCCAATAAATTATATTTATTATTAGAAAACTGATGGGAAATATGAGGCGACACTTGCGGTCAATTTCATTGGCAATATCTTGCGGTTTGGCTATAAATACGGGCGAAAAAATATTAGTTTTGCTGATTTTTGGCGTTAGTCTCGACCGATTCAATGTATGATCAGGTGTGAGATTTGGCACAATGCCGCCATCGCTTCCCGTCCTTATCATTGAACCTCTTTTTTGAGTCAAAGGACTCGGAGGCGGCTGTCAGTCATATATATGGATAATATTATTAAACAAAGACAATTGCATCAAATTAGTCGACATATATTTAATTGTGATTTACCTGAAGAAATATATCACTGTTAACAGTGCTATACATTGAATCGCAGTAACTATTGACTGAATTATTACTTAAAGTCCTTTTCAAACCATTGCTATTCTGTATATTATTTTTCTTATTAGCCTTTGATTTGTTTGTTCTCCTCTTTTCCTTATGATAGATGAAGTTTACGGTCGCGTATTCAACGAGTGATGCGAATATAAATACTATTCAATACAAATAGACCATAATTAGATGTTTTGCGATCAATAACCAAGCACAATTTAGCATACTTGTGCAAACAATAATCCAAATATCGAGGGCATGTATGTAGGAAACTCTGGGCAACTTATCGCGAGCGCTCTTAGCGCTGGTGACCAGTGTTAACATTGTGGTGATGCCGAGCGTGACTCTGG